GGTTGCCTTCTTGTTAGAGCTCTCATCCCGAGATGAACAAAGTGAGGAGATGGAAAGGGAGAGTACAGTGTGGTACAAGCGGCTCAGATCCAACAGAATGGGCTGAAATCCCAACTCCCGTACCTGCTAGCAAGGAGGAACCCATTGTTTTTCCTTAACCTTTGCACCCTATTGCTCTTGCTGCAAGTCAATCATGGAAAGGATGTTGCCTAGAGCCTGAAATCTACAGGTGAGCCCATCCTCAAGGCTCTGACCTCTAAGGGTGTAACACTTTTCTATTCATATAGAGATAAAAAGTTGCAGAACAGAGAATAACATTTGTCTTGTTGGAGGTTTACAGGGACACCATGACCAGACCTACACAAACAGCTGCAAGAACAAAGGATTCTGACACCAAGAAAATTACACCAACCAACCGCACCCCCTCCCCTTTTAGTATTAAAAAAAAGCCTCAATTCTAACTCAGGTAAGATGGTTCTTTGGGACACTAGTCTACCATTTTCTCGGTCTGCTGGCTTTCCAAGTAAAGTCACTGTTCCTTGCCCCAGCAACTCATCACCTGACTTACTGGCCTGTCATGGGATGAGCAGTTCAAGTTTGGACTCAGTAACAAGGCCACGCCAGCCCACTGAGCCAGACTATTCCTCCAAGAAGACAAATGCACCAGCAAGAGCCCGATGCCCACACCTGCCCTCCCAGCTGCTCGTCCCGCCCCAGCACCAAGGGACAAGCAACATCGCCCTGGACAGGGAGCTGCCTGTTGAAGGCACAAGCTCCTCACCCTGCGGTGACTCAGGCCGTGTCCTTCTGCAGCAAATCTCAGCTCTCCAGGGCCTCTGGATCAGAGCGGCAGAATCCACCAACTCCCACCTCCCAGCTCATAGCTCACTTTTACTGCCAAGCCCCAGAGCCCCTACCCCTAGTTGAGAAAACTTCTACCTACCATGTGAGCCTTGGAGGGGACCCCAGCCCCTCCTCAGAAGCTCATAGCCCAGACACATGGGCAGTGAGAGTTGAGTCTCAGAGCCGTGGGCCCTGCAGATGCACCATCCTACTGCGCCTGCGGGCCCGGTGCCGGGCGGGGCTGGGAGCAGAGCTGCACTGTGCCCGGAGGAGGCGGGACGGTGGGAGGTTGCTGGCTGCAGCCGTCCTTCCCTCACTCCTCCCCAGCACCCTAGCAAGTTGGGAGGCCCAGGAACTATTTAATAAGCTGTTTTTCCGCTTCAATCAGCCAGATGTGGTCTCTGATGCTATCAACTAAACATCTCCCTTCACTCACTCATTATTCACTCCTCATTCATTCACTCATCGAATGCCCACTATTCCTGGTACCCACAGCTCCCTGTACAACCACTGCGGTGTGACTGCACGTGAGTAATTTACTTTTTCATTGCTCAATCCCTACCTGTAAAATAAGAATAATTATCGCCACTGGCTCACAGGATTGCTGCAAAGTTTCCACGGGCTGCCATATGCCTGAGGTACAGAAAGTTGTATGGACTAGTTAACGTTATTATTATTATTAGAGCCACCTCTGTAACCAAGCAGGACCTTAGTGTC